CTTCAGTGATAGCTAGAGAATGAAACATCTCTAGTGATCGATTTCTTTTCTGATGCTCTGGAATATTTCTGGGTTCAGTCATGAAAGAGTATAAAAGATGGAGTATACTTATCACCTATGGTACATGGAAAAGAGAAAAGGTTGGAAAGAAACAAAACTAGTGTTGGTGTTTAACTAGCTTTACTGAATCATAGAATAGTAGAGTTGGAAGGGACGGTGAAGGCCATCAGGTTCAACCCCCTGCTGTTGCAGGACACCAAGTTACACCATCCCACTCAGATGGCTGTCCAGTTTCTTTTTGAAGGACTTCTGCTTGAGTATTCGTTTCTTCCATTCATTTGAAGGATCTGCATGATTACCAAGCTGGACTAGCTGATAACACAGAGATACAGCTTCTTTTCTCTTTGGTGTCATTTACTATTTCAACAGCAGCAAAATCTTAGATGTAAATGGGTTAACTTTGTTTTAATCTATATTTAATGTACTGGAGGTGTTCAGAATAGGTTAGGTCAAAGAGGTTTTATTGATCCAGTAATTATCTCTAACTTGTCTGATTGGTTTTAATTGCCTTCATTAAGATTAATTTAGATGAAACTCATTCCCTGGGGATCTCTAGTGTAGATTTCAGGTAAAATTAGAATCACAATTTGATGTTGCAAAAAGAAGGCAGAGACCACAGGCCAACTTGATACTGGTTAATCGGCCGCTAATTAATGAATTGCATGGGGAAGAAATCATGCTTTAATATTAAAGTGCTAATTAGATTTTTTTTCACCAATATGAGGACAGTTAAAATAAGTGTTTAATTTCACTACCAATATATTATTCATAGTTAGCTTCAGTGGTAGCAGATTGGTTGAACCAAAATGGAGAACATCAGAATAACCATTGTCCTAGAATGTTTTCTTAGAAAATGTATCTGTGCTGCTCCTGGCAAAATGTAGATCACTAGACTATGCAATATTCAGTGTGTGCCTATCAGCCCCTATTGTTGTTTAGTGTAGTACTACCAAATTAGGTGTACTAGTTGTGAGTTGCTATATTGATGTTGATTTTAGACTTAGCTTGCTCCCTTCCAGTATTCTTTCCTACCACTAATCTTAAACCATTAAATAGGAAATACAGTAAATTAGTATAAGCATGCTTAAAGCACATTTTATACCAATACCACAACTGTGTTTTAAATATTTTTATAGCACCAATGTGATTAAGTATCTGCATTAGTACTTAAATGGAAAAAACTATTTAGTGCTTGAGAAAATAAGGAATTCCAATAGTCCAAATGTGATTTTTGCCCTAAAGATATGTGTATCTGTGACTGTACACAGAAGAGTGAACACGGAAGCAGCTACATAGTGGCATCCTATATAAGGGAAGTGGGGCAATCTATTCAACTACACTGTTAGTTGCGGAATGTTCCACATTAGTGCAAAATACTTTGTGCCTAGATTTCCCAGTGCTATTGATTCAGTAGTATCCAATGCTATTATTTGATGAAATGCCAACTCAGCATCCTGTTATGCAGTTTCCATCCATTTTGTGCTGTATAATAGCTGTGTGTCACACCAGACCTAGTTGTGATTTATTTTGTCTTGTTCATAACAGTGAACCAACAAGGCTGCTCCATCCTGGGTCCGTTTATTACACAGGTTGTAATTCAGGCACACAGACACAATCTTACATACAAACAGAAAAGGGGGTAAAACCTTCAAGGAGTATTCAAAAGTTGCATTTGATCAGATAATAGGTTCCCAAAGGCACAAAGATTACACAAATGTAACAGAGATCTGAAGGCTAGGTACAGATATGATAGGTGAAAGTATTCAACGTTGGGACACCAAGTCATTGCAGTAAAAGAATATTGATCTTAGCTATGGCCAAACTGGGTCCATTTTCTAATAAGGAACTAAACAACAAACTGTGACTTGGTGTTACACCTTAATGTAGGAAGCAGAGGAGAAACCATTGAGACAATTTGCCTTCCCCATCTGCTGCTTCTGTTTCATCAGGCTGGGCTGGTTCCTGCTCCAGTGTGTGTGTGTGTGATCGCTGTGGAGCTTTCTTCCACTTGGGGCAGGTGTTGAGGGCCAGGGCCTCCATTTAGATCAAAGAGACAAACTGGTCTGCTGTCATACTACTCCGTTTCCTAATGGAATCCCTGAGTTGGCTGTTCTCAAGTGTGATGCTGGAGAACTTCACAATGATTGTTCTGGGTGAGTTCGACATTGATACTGATTTACAGAGCCATAGGACATAGGCCCATAGGACAACCAGGGTGGTGTGGCAGTTAGAGTGTTGGAGACCTGAGAGATCCAGATTCTAGTCCTCACTCAGTCATGAAGCCCCCTGGGTGACTTTGGTCAGTCGCTCTGGGTCAGGAACCACCTTGGGTTCCTTTCAAGAGGAAAAAAGCAGAATCTAAATGCAAACAACAATGTAACAGCAATGTCATAATCTTAGTTCAGCCACATGGCAGTACATATCTTTAGTTTACTCAGGTGTTGCTTTGCTATAGAAGGGGTTGTGGTGACTGTTGTCATCAGCAGACCACTTTCTGATATGTTTCATGGCATTTATTTCTTCATGTGGAGCTGCAGGACCTATTAAGATGGTCTGCCTGTAGTGGCTTATGGAAATTAATTGATTCCTAATTATTTGGAGGGATTTTCCAGCAGTTAGAGCTGGTGATCCTGTTGAACCCTCTAGTCTTACTATGGAATGGTGAGAACCATCAACTTGATTGCTTATGGTTGGAGCCCAAATTACTTTCTGATTCTCTGGACCAGAGTTTCCAGCAATGAAGCAAGCAAGATGAACAAGCCAGGAGCATAAGGCAATGTGGAGTCAACTTAACCTGTATTTCTTTACATAATTGCACCTACAGCGATGCTGAGGTCACACAGGTTTATTTCACTGCCCTCCAGGGCATCCTTGAGCTGTTCAGGAGAGCTTTATGTGGTGGTAATAGGATTATTTACATCTACCCCAGCAAATACAATGCTGCAACCTTTGAACACCTGTGACAATTTTACAAGGCATATTGAGAACAAAATCACTCGCCTTCATATTGATGTTAACCCTGCTGTTGTAGCAGGTCTACATCACTTGTCCAATACATAATGTAGTCCATTCTTTGAGTGCAGTTTCAGCTTCTGCCAGGTGAGGATGTGAGCAAGTTGCTTGTAGCAGTTTGGTTTCCCATTTTTTGATCCTTTTCCATCATGGCTGATTAGCTGTAGATATTTGGATGAGTGCAGAAAGTGAACATATTGCATGAGCAGGTTCTCTCTGCTGTTTCAAAGGAGGCAGTGGTATGGCCACTCCTGAAAAAAAGAACCCTTCCTGATCCTGGAGGTTTAATCATTATTGCCTAGTGGCAAGTACTCTTATTGGGCATGAACCTTGAGAGGATGGGGTGACTCAACCACAGGTGTTCCTAGAGGATACTAATTAGACCCATTCCAGGCTGTGTTCCTTTTTTTGGTCATCCTTATTTTATTGTGAAAGGAATAGGAGGAGTGCTACTTTGTAACTTGATCTCTCAGTAGCTTTTGCTGACATTGACCATGGTATATTCCTGGATTTACTCTGTGAACTAGGAATTAGGAGTTGGGGATGCTGTTTTATGATGGTTTCAGTTCTGTGTTCAGGACAGGTTTCCAAGATGATGGGGGGGGGGGAAACCCCCCCCCCCCCGGGCCAACAGTCATGCTGTGAGGTGCCTCAAGATACCACTAAACATGCTGGTGACACCCAGCCCTATTTCTACATTAGATCTGAATCAGCAGAGACCATGCATGACCTGCATGACCCAAATTGGTGCTTGAAAACAGTGATAAGCTGCACAAAGGCCAGTGAGGTGGAACTGAATCCCAGTAGGATGGTGGGACTGTCTGGAGTCAGGAAACAACTAGCTCCGGGTAGGGTTTACATTTCAGGATTGAGCCTGAATGTATTGCTATCACTGAAGGCCTAAAGGAGCTTTTAGGCTAGTACTGCTTGCTACCAGCTCAAGTTGGAAGGTTAACTGTGCCTGTGCTTGGACACTGAACCATTCATGGGTTACTGTAATGAGGTCCATGTGGGGCTGCCCATAGGTCTGTTTGGAAGCTGCAGCTTGAATAGAATGCAGTGGTGGTTTACAAACTGATGGCTTATCATGCACTTATTATGCCATGCAAACAAATTCACACTGGCACCAATCTGTTTCCAAGCTGTTTATTCAGATTGGTAGTATTACCATAAAAAGCATACATACACAGGACCAGGTTACCACAGGGAACATCTCACTCTATGCACTTTCCCAGACCACTGTGATCTTCAGGGCAGGTCCTGTTGCATGTGCTGGAGCCAGGCCTGTGGAACATTATTGCAAGCCTCAATGCTAATGTGTTTTAGGCATTTACTGAAAACGTACCTTACTGAAAACGTCTTTTCCATTCCTCTAGTCTTGGTCTCTGTTTAACTCTATCTGTAATATGGTTTATTTATTCTGTTGTGTTGTATTCTTTTGTAATTTGGGATTTGTACAAACAAGAAGCAGTATACAACCATTGCTAATGGCAATAAAAATAATGAAGACAATTTTGCCTATGTGGCTCTTTGGTAAATTTGAGCTTACTTCTGAAGAGTAAAGATGTATGTGGGACAAATAAGATAAATCTGAAAGAGGATTGGACCTTGCTCCATTGCTTAAGAAAGATATATTCACTGTGTAAATGACCAAACAATGCAACTTGTTTATTAGGAAAAAAATGGTTATGTTAATTTTTACTCTTCCAAATAACCTCTTTGAACCAAGCACTGGCCTGAAGCTGCCACTCACTTTTTGCTTAAATCTTCATTAGCATGGGAAATAGGATACATCAACTTAAGATTCCTGCCTGACTTATGAGTTCCGTTTCCAAAATGAGGCACATTTTTCTAAAGCACTATGAACCAGAAGCCACAATCTCACATCACAGTATTGAGACTGAATGCCTATCCCTGTTTTTTCACAGAGGATGAATTAACACAAGGATGGCCAGCGGATGCTCAGGTTTCACTTGAAGATATGACCTGGAATCACAGTAAGATTATTTAGTGAATTGGTTTGTATATAAGCTGATGCATTAATGTAAGCATAAGAAAAATTCTGCTGGAACACCAGGGATCCATCTAGTCTAATAGTCTGTTTGCCAAAGTGGCCAGTCAGATGTGTGTGGGAAACATAGAAGCAGGATGTGAAGACAACAGCGTTCCCCTGCTGTTTGCATTCGCAGCTCAGGAATCATTATTCAGAGTTGTACTGCCTCAGAACCAAAAGGTTTCTGTTTATTTATAAGATCTATGCATAACTGTTAGCAATATCATATATAGCTTTACTTAACCCCACTTTAAAGGCATCAATGGGTGTAACTGCATCATAGGATAGCAAATTCCATAAGTTATTTTTTTAATTGTGTGAAGAAGTGTTCTATATCTGAAGAATTGTTTTCTGTTTTATATCTTGGTGATTAATTTTACTAGATAGCTATTGAGCAGGGCTGTACAGAAAGGAGATACTTAGAATTTTTGGACTTCCAACTCCTAGTGTTCTGGCCAGTGACCATGCTGGGATGGGCTTTTGTGAGTTGCAGTCCAAAACATCTGGAGATCAAGAGGAGACATTTTTCTCAATCCATACTATTAATAGTTTTATAAACCACTGTGCTGTCCTATGCCATTTCCCTTCTCATCTTTTTAAACCTAAATGTCTTAGGTGACCCTTGATCTGATAATCCTTCTTCTGCATCTTTTCCAGTTTTGCAATATCCTTCTGTACATTTTGAAATAGTACATCTGCACCACAGATGTATATAATTGCATAACAATACTAGGCTTTTTTCTAATCATCCATAGTGTGATATTTGTCTGACATGGTTTGAGATGTTGGTTGCTAGGCAATTTTCAGTTATATTTCATATTACTACAGTAGCTGCCTCTTGGTGAGTGCTGGGAGTTGTAATCATGCAAAGTGAAGCAAGAAGGAAGGCACAGGGAAGAAGGTACAAATACATTGCAGCCAACATATGCAAAAATGCTATTTTTTTCTGTGTAGCTGCATAGGAAAGCAATTCATAAGGATTTCTTCAGGCTTGTAGACCTCCCTTTTTGACTTTCAGATGTGGAATGTTCTGTATATTAAGCACATACAGAGTATCACTATATATACTAATTTCACCAAAGTATTTTTCTGTGCTTCTCAACATTAGAAGGAATATAAATACCACAGTGTTGAAGTACTAGTCCAGAAAAAAGCAACTATCTTGCTTTTATGGAAGAACTCCATTTTCTTAACATTTGTCTCTTGGTTTAGTTTTTCTTTTTAAAACCATGTATCAGATTGTAGCTTTGATCAGTTAATTCTGACAATGGTTTGTCCTTCTATGCTGATGATAGGTGTTCAGATAAAAGCTCACATATCCTCTATTTAAGTAGCATTTAGGAAGCATTTCAAAGGTTCAGGAGAAATCACTGAAGTTACTATATTTTGTTTCAACAGATGATAACTGTTATTCTCTTACATGCCGATGTGGCGGAAAATACAGTGTCTCCAAATTTGAAGCTGAACATGTTTCACTAGTATGCTGTGATACTTGTTCTCTACTTATCGAGATTCTTCAATGACCCAGCCATTTTCTTGACTCAAGCACACAGGAAATGTGGAAGATGTACCCACTTGAACAGTCTGCAAGATTCTGCTAGTAAATGTGGTTTAAAGTTAAGAACAAGGTTAGGACAGAAAAAGTGTTTTGAATCCATAGGAGCTCTTATGAAAATTCATGATCTGCTTTTTAGTTTGTTCTATCCATGTCCTAATGTATTCCTCGTTAGGTACTAAAGATAGAAACCAATGTCATGTGAATGGATCTCTATATAGTATGATTGCCTCTTCCATACAAAAGCCTCCCTGAGGAGACTTTGATGTGAGCAGGAAGGTCAAGGAATTATCCTGTTCCACTAATCCAAGCAGTGGATCCCACCCTTTATTTTCTGTTTATTTAAATAGTAACATACCTTCATGTAATTCCTGTATTCTGATAAAGTGATGCATTTCTTCTGATAATAGAAGAAATTATCTATTTATAATACCCCCTTTATCCCAGATGAAACTATTGCTGGGATGCAAACTCAACTGAAAAGTGGTTTAATTCAAGTGGAAGCACTTGAATTGGTTTATTAAAACCAATTTAATGCAGTCTGCAGTAGCTCGTTTTCTTAAACCTATTGGGAACTTTTTTACAAGGCCCTTCCCTAAGTCTAGCATGGGACAGGGAGCTTGATGGGTACCAAAAGTGTCTATGAGCATTGTGGTACCTCTGGCTCCACTTTGGAGACCTGGTGCTAAGATCCTCCTACTCCTTTTCAAGAGGGTTTGCAAATATATTCACAATAGATTGTATCATTTCCTGAGAGAAAATATTATCAAATGTTATTCATCCCCTTAAGAAATTCTGATAATCATCTTGCTATATGCAAGATTATTAAGTCCTATCTAAAAAGTATTGCTACTAATTCCATTACATATTATTATCAGCACAAACATGTGTGAATTCTGAGTGAAAAAAATAAACGCGATACATGGCTGACTCATGTCCGTAATAATTTTTGTGTTCTCTGTAATGTTATAAATGAAGGTATAAGGCCAGAATACTGTTAATGAAAGGAAATTGTCTCAATCATGTTATTTATTGCATAAAAATACATATCACTGATTTTTTAAAGGGCTAATAAAGTACTGAAAATAGATGACTGAGCATAATTTATTTAATCATTACAAATCCTGTGACTGTTGGGGCTTGCACGTAGAAATCCAAAATCAGTCAGAGGCCATAGCTGTAAAAATAAAATAAAACATTTAAATTATAGAGCATTAGTCCTATTTTCTGCTTTGCTTTTCTTCTATCTCTTCTCCATTCAGCTGAAGTGGGAAACTGTGAAACTGTGAATGCTGAAAGCAGGAATTTACAATTACACATAGCCTTAGATTTGACCATCTTAAACTTGCGATATGGGAAATGTTTTCTCCAATTAAAGATGTTTATGCAGTACCAGAGGCAAGGAATTTGTATAATATATGCAGTGAACCAAAACTTTAATTTCTCACCACTGCTAGTCAAAGGAATTGATCTGAAGTCATTGACATTCCTCTGCAAGCCAGATGATACTCAACCTACATAAGCTGGTTGGTGTGCGGGTATAACAAGAACCAAATGAACTAGAGGACACAAGAAATGCAATTTGAGAGCGAGCAGTGGTAAATTCTAATTGAACAAGCAACCTAATCCAGTCAGCATATATGCAGGGGTTGGTAAAGAGTTCAAATAGAAAGCTGCTGGTTTTCTAACAGAAAAAATGACATCACTAAAGTCTGCCTCCATATGGAAGGATTAAAAGATAGCATTAAGCCAATTTTTTTAAAGGAGCTCTAGCAAAATTAAAAACCTGTTATTCCAGCTTTTCAGGTAATCTGATGGAAACATTAAAATAGAAATATTAAATATTGGGGAACATCTGATCCTCCAAATGTTGGATGCCAATCATGCTATGCTGGTTAGGACTGATGGGCACTGCAGTCCAACAATGTATGGAAAGCTACGTGTTCGTCGTTCCTGATAAAGGGGAAAAAACATGCTGAAACATAAAAATAGCATGGCTTCTGCAAAGAAAGGTCAGATATTAATGTACTGTAGTGGAAGGGGTGCTATTTAAGTAAAAGCATATTCCACCCTAGCACAGAGCAAGTCACTGATTTCCCTTACCAGCCACATTACAGGAACCTGGAAAGCTGATCATGCTAAGATTTTCAGAGGAAGAAGAAAAGGGGGGCTATTCCAGGGGGTGGATTTACATGTCAAAGTTACCCATGCTGGCAATAAGCCACAGTGGGTCAGTCACATGGAACCCACTGTGCACTGACAGACATTTGGGCTTCCATGGGTTGTCCTCCCAGCCCCCCCCCCCCCATTTCTTCTTGGTCCTCCAGATGGTTGTCTCTTCCCACTGCAATTACTATTCCTTTTTGCTCATAATGGCTTTTTTCTTTCTCCCCTTTATTTTTTTTAGTGATTGTGAACAGCAGTCTCCTAACCAACAGTCGCTTCAAACTATACAAGATGGCACATCTTTTCACTTTAGTTTCCCCGTAACAGCAGTTAACCAGTCAAATCAACATAAAGCACTAAGCGATCTTTGCACACAAAAGGGATAGATGCCTCTTTTCCCACTTTGCAGCAAGATCCCACTTTCTCCAACTATTCACCCATTCCCAAGGTTCTAGGCATTTGGGAAGATTAAAAAAATTAACTTTCCCTGTATGCTTTCCTGTCCAAACCACCCTGTCTAACCTTGCCTCAATCCATTTTCAAAGAAACCCCTACCATTGACACCTGTCAGAAGCAAGTGTTACAGAAAAGCAGGTTTGTGCTTTGCTTTGTCAGCTTGTCCTTTGAGAAATGTAAGGAAAAGCACAATATTTTAAAATCCTATTGTTTCCAGGACAATGCCCAGGGTTGGTACCTGCTACATTTTGATAACGGATACCCCTGCTTGGACCTTGCACAGGTAAGGCTTCCAATTATCAGACCCACAAACAGTGCACTTCCACAGTTGCACAAGTCAGACTAAAGTATAAACTGTGAAAAGATTGCACACATTTGGGACACAGCTCCTTTGATGTGCCACCTGGTCACTTTGGAGAGGCTGTCTTTGGCAGAGGTAAGCATTATTTTATTTTATTTTGATGGATTGTTGCTCTTGATGAGCTCCTTGCTTGCCACTTCCCAAACCCAAGGTAATACCAGTTGCCTGGGGCCAGATATAGAACATCCCATCATGTGTTGAACAACCCCTAGAATAGTCCTTCTATTCTCAATGTAGCTACTTAGGAAAAAAAGGTTACCCTGTGCAAAGCTAAGTTTCAATGCCACAACAACCCACCCTACCCACAATAAGTTGTCATGTCAGCCAGGTCATTGACTGGGTTCAGGTAACACAACAAACCACATTCTGCATAGGGTTGAATGTTGGTTAGCACTGAACTGTGGGTTAAAACATGTTATTATGTTGCCTAAACAAGCCATGGTTTGTTAGCTGGGACATGATAATCCACAGTTCAACAACAACCCTTACTCAACCCTTGAGGGTGGGTTATTGTTACGTGGTTTGTGGGATCCAAGCTGATATCTTTGATAGTGATGTGAGTCATGCTTCTCCCTCCCAGTAGTAATAGTCTCACCAGCACTTCTTTGTCAATATCTTTATTTTACATGCAAGTCTCTGAACATACACAAAGTGAAACATTGAGCCCTCCCTGACATTCTTCCCTCAAAGCTTGCAAATTCTTTTGCATCTGTTCCTATGAGGAGGAGTGCTGTGAAACTGAGCATGCCTGTGCTCTTCCCTCAGAGACCTCAACTGGTTCTCCCTACAACTGTGATGACAGATTATCAGGTCCTTCTCAGGAGGTGGGGGCTCCCCATCCGACAGACTTCCCATCTCTAAATATCCCTCCTTGAGATGCTGTTGCTCTTCCCTATTCCCACATGCAGGTTGACTGGTCCTTCAGCTGCCCTTGAACTAATTTCTCCCATAGCAGACACAGGTGAGTATGCAGGGCCTTGGACTGCAGGGCCTTGGAACTGGGACTGCTTCAACAACCATCTCATCATCAGAGTATGAGCTGTCAGAACTGCCAGGATAGGCAGTCTCCCCTGCACACATCTCATCCTCGGATTCTGGGCTGTCAGTCCCACCAAAAAAACCTCTCGTGTGTGCCCCTGAGGTTTGCTAGAACATGCACACACAATAGATAGAATGCTATATTTGTCAGATATCTAACAAGTGCCTTGAACAGAAATATAGTTCTTGTTCATGGAATCATATCATACGTATGTGCTAAGCTGCCTCCTTTGGTTCATGCACCATCTCCATCGATAGACCAGCCCACTTCACTCTCAGAGTTTCATGGATCCCTGGAGCCACCTGCCTCCACTTCTGTGCTACCTCACCAACTGAGCTCTCCTGTAGCAGGGGTCCTCACATTTTTTCACCAGGGGGCCAGTTGAAAGGTGCCGGTGCTGGGCGTGGGCCAGAAAGGTGGTGCCAGTGGTGCACGTGGGCCGGCAAGGGGGTGGGGGCAGTGCAGGCGCGTGCACTGAGAGGGGGGCGGGGTGAGGGGAGGCGAGGTGGGCCCAGGCACGCATCGTGAGGCAGGCACAGAAGGCAGCAGCTTGCTTGCTTGGATATCGTTTTCTCCACGTGAGCAAACCGCTGCCTCCCCATGCGTGGGGCGAGGTGGGCGGGCGCGGGCGCAGCAGGTCCAAATGGGCATGGTGGGCCAGATCCGGCCCCTGGGCTACAGCTTGAGGACCCATGTCCTGTAGCATGTCTTTCCAATCCATCCTCACCAACAGACATCAAAAATTACAAGTCCAACAAGAAGAACCTCTCCATCAGTCCAGCCCAGTTCTTCCTCTCCAGATCCCCTTCTGGATGCCAGGGATCCCAATTCACCATCAGCAGACATGGGCAACTTTGCCAAAGAGATATGACAGATAGGCCATACCCTTGGCATCACAATACAGCTAAACCCAGGGAAGATATTGGATTTGATCTTCAAAGCCGTATGGACCAATCAATTAATGCCAATTGCCACCCCCTTCTGACCAAGCCTTATGCAGATGGTCCAGTAGTCCTGGAAGGCACCATCAGTGATGGTCCTGATGGTCCAGAAAAAATATATCATGTACGGGAGAAGGACACAACCTCATCACCCTGCAGATGCATCACACTGACCACTGGTCATGTCACCAGGATCAGCAGCCCAGTAGGCTCGCTGAGCAGGAGGAGTCTCAACATCCACGAGTGACAGATGGACTCACAGATCCATCTATTGCACATCATCTTCAGGACTTGGGAGACTCCTGTAGATCTCTGCCACTTGGGACAATGCTGTCTGCAATAGCTTCTGCCCTCAGGCAGGAGTTCACTAGGCTCTCTGATAGATGCGTTCCTTCTACACTGGATGGGGACACACACTCACCCCATCATGCATGAATAAATTCCATTCTAGACACAGCCTTGAAACCAGCAACCAGGAAAATCGTATGTGGCATAGTAGAAAGCTTTCTCCTTCTTTGCCAGCACCCTAGGTTTTGACCTCAGGAGCTACATGATCAAAAAGATCTTCCTCTACATGGTTGCACTATTTCAGCACTGATTAAAGGCATCATTTGCCCAAGTCCACTTAGTAGCCATTTCCTCCTTCCACAGCAAGATCCAGGCTTCATCAGCTTTTTTCCACGCAATGAGTAGGCACTTCTTAAAGGGACTAAAGAACACTTTCCCACCAACTTGACTGGGTTTTTTTCCGATTTATATCCTGCTTTTTTCCTACAAAGGGCTCAAGGAAGCTTGCATCATTCTCCTCCTCCATCTTATCCCCACAACAACAACCCTGTGAGGTAGGTTCAGTGCTCCAGTGTCCTCTGCTCTGCAAAAAGAGCTTCCATACCTTGTCTTTCATTGGGACAAGATGTTGTTGCATCCAGATCCTTCTCTCCCCCAAAGGTCGTATCTTCCTTTCATTTAAACTAGGATATTGTTTTGCCAGTGTTTTTTCCATCCTCGCCCAGCCCAGTAGAGTTTGCATTGCATACCCTGAACATGCATAGAGCGCTGGTGTTCTACCACTCCAGGACAGAATCTTTTCATCAGTCTCCAAAGCTTTAATTTGTTATGGAGGCAAGGAAAAGGGACAACTCCTGTCACCACAAAGTCTTTTGGCGTGGAAGGTGCTGACAGTTTCTTTGGCCTACAAACTGTCAGGGCTGCAACTCCTGATATACCCGAAAGAGCACTCAACTCGAGCAGTAGTGACTTCAACAGCATTGCATGCAGATCCCGCTACCGGACCTATGCAAGGCAGTGACCTAGTTGACACGATCCACCTTTGCAAAGCATTACCATCTCAATGTTCACACCAGGGCCAATTGCACGGGAGAGCAGTCCTTTCATCAGTACTCCAATTATGGCATCTACCCACCATTCAAGAATGGGTAAGCTTGCTAGTCACCCTAAGAGTGATGTGCAGAAACCACAAGGAAGAAAGGCAGGTTGCTTACCTGTAACTGTCGTTTTTTGAGTTGTCATCAGTGCATTCAAACAACCAACCCACCTACCCCACTGGGTGTTTTGAGTGACTCCGCAGTCTGTCCTTACGTGATTGTCTCCTTTACTGTGTTACTTTGCTAAATGTGAGGTCAGTAGTACAGATACTCTCTTGGTCCCAAGGCCACCAGGCAGTCTCATTTGGAAGTGAGGGCAATGGTGGGAGTGCCTCCACTTTATACGGATGCTGGGAGGGGTTCCCAATGAAGTTACAGAGAACAGCTTTGGCTTGCCCATAGCACCAGGCTATGGGTGCTTTTTGGCGACCTCTTTTGAAGTTGCGGGGCCTTTGCCCTTGCCACCAGTGCCGTCTTTCATGGTACACAGAGCATGCTCCCATATCTCCAGCTTGAGACGACCAGTCCTGTTTTTAAGAGCCTGCTTGGTGAAGGCCTGGCAGTGTGGGCACTTGTCCACACAATGCTCCTCTCAAAAGCAGAAGAGGCATAAAGAGTGGCCATCAGTGGAAAGCATCTTAACACCACATTCAGCACATTGTATGAAACGCCAGTTTGAGAGCCCTTGGGGCGGAAAAAAGGAAGACAGGATGTAAGTATAAGAGAGAAAGACAATAGAAGGGGGATTTGGTAAATCTTTGTGAGGGACAGAAGGAACGGCAGGGGGATTTCAAAAAAAGAAGGCCAGTAAACACGAGCAGAAAGATTGAAAAAAGGCAATCAGAAGATCAAACAGGGAGTAAGAAATATGAGAAAGGTTTTTATGAGGAAAACGCTGAAGTAATCGTATACCTAGAGATCCTGAGGCACTGCAAATGGCAGTCGAAAGTGAACTGAAAAAATGGCAGGAGCCCACCTATTTATGTAATAGGGAAGCAGAGGCAGGGTTCCCGGCATAAATTCTAGGCTTAGCTAGAGGACTCTTCCCAAACGTGGCACTGTGCGGACACAGCACCCATGTGTGGGATGCACAGAGACATGACGAAGAACACTCTTACCCATTGATTCTTCCAGCAACAGCCTTCACACAGGTACAAACCCTTATGTGTGAATGCACAGATGACCACTTGAAGAATGATAGTTACAGGTAAGCAACCTGCCTTTCCTCTCTAATACTACTGTTTCCAAATATCTCCCATGAAAAAAGGACACAGCCTAGGGTAAGTGGGATTTTTCTGTTGGTACTATTCCTATTGGTAGGGCTGGGTTTGTTTTTGGGTCGTCTCTGCTTAGGGTTTATACATCCTTAAACACAGTAGTCACTTGAGATCATGTTCTCTTGTAACATTTTAACACCCCAGTCACTGTGCTTCACTAGATAATGAAAACGCCTCATCAGGCTACTTTGGGCCCCAAGACTTATAAAAACTGTTAAATTAACACATTTTAGATTGCAAAGTATACCTTAAAGCAAATGCGTCCTTTTATCAATCCATATGGAACAGGGCCGTAACACCTGGAATCTGTAGAATTCCTGAGATTATCACCTTCTAACCAAACATGTCCTTTAGGTACCTAAAATCATCACAATTAAAGAAAAAATATGTAGTTGAAAGAAAACAAACTATTTCCCACTAATACAATCTGATTTGATCCTTCAATGTGCACATACAATGAACAAATCATTTTACACTTCCCTAAGTCAAAGGTAGATGTGGGGGGAGGGGGGATCCAAGTTTTCTGTTTTTTCACATGCTCTGAAAACACTAGTTTGCAACACACCAAAAAAAAAAAAAAATCCTCCAAATGAAGATGTAAGAGGTTAGGCCAATGTGACGGGGTCATTAATTTAATAGACTTCAAAAGAGGTCATTAGGATGTTGACTGAAAATCTGCCCTGCTGTCGCAGGAACAGCATGAACAGGGCAGCCACACACTCATCAACATCCTGGGGCCAGCACTAAGGCTAGACCTGTTAGTAGGCTTGTGATGAACTAAATGGTAATTGATTGTGACATCAATTACGAATAATCTCGTCATTTTATCAGAGAGCACTTGTCAAAGTTCTAATTAAGATCACAGTTCATTCTATGTGCAGGCAGGATCCACAACACATAATATTGCAATAATGACCATCTCAAACGGCCAAGTCTCTCCTTATAATTTGAAAATTAATGATGGTGACCTTATCATATGACAAAAACCTTTTATGGTCTATATGGACTGTGCTTGAGCTGTATTACATGCCATGGGTCCAGCCCTAAACTAGCTTTATGATATCTGAGACACAACAACACAACTGCAGTAGTAACTAGAAAACATGTCAGACTTGTATACAATTTTTTTAGTAAATAGCAGAACACAAAATATAAGGCATGTGAAATTCATACAAACAAAACCAAAGCATCTAAATCTTTTACAATTTGGGACTGGCTTCTTAAAATTAGGCAGGGAAATATGATGACAAAGGGTCCAGTCATAAGTATACTTTCTAGTGAGAAAGTTTCACTGAACAGAATTATTTTCAAGTAAGCATATATAGACAAATATGAACTGTAACAGCCAACATCTTCCTTCCACCTAGAACTTTTCTTTGGATGAAAGGGCATAATCCTATGCACATTTTGACTGAGGAAGGTCTCATAGATTCCAGTATTCCCAGCCAGCATGCCTAAATGTACAGAAGATTGCAGTTTTTAAAAAGACAATGGGGTGTATGAAATTTTAGGTTGGTGCTTAATCCAGGAATAGCCACTGCCCAACCATAAACCAAGGTACAGAGTTACATGCCTGTAGCCCCTGCCATCTTCCTTATCCACAGTGTTTTCATGCCCCACCTCTGATAAGGATTGTGGCAGAATTGAGTGGGGAAATGCCTCAGCGCAGACCTAGAGAACATTTTTCATTTTTTTAATGGTGAGCAAAGTCCCTTGATATTCAGATGATACCACTCTAATGGCAGAAAGTGAAGAGGAACTAAAGAGCCTCTTGATGCGGGTGAAGGAGGAGAGTGCAAAAGTTGGCTTGAAACTCAACATTAAGAAAACTAAGATCATGGCATCCAGGCCTCTCACTTCCTGGCAAATAGATGGGGAAGAAATGGAGGTAGTGACAGATTTTATTTTCCTGGGCTCCAAGATCACCACAGATGGGGGCTGCAAGCAAGAAATTAAAAGACGCTTGCTCCTGGGGAGGAAAGCTATGGCAAATCTAGACAGCATACTAAAAAGCAGAGACATTACTCTGCCAACAAAAGTACGTATAGTCAAGGCTATGGTTTTCCCAGTTGCAATGTATGGCTATGAAAGCTGGACCATAAGGAAGGCTGAGCCCCGAAAAATTGAGGCCTTTGAATTGTGGTTCTGGAGGAGACTCCTGCGAGTCCCTTGGACCATAAGGCAATCAAACCGGTCAGTCCTAGGGGTGATCAATCCTGACTGTTCTTTAGAAGGCCAGATCCTGAAGATGAAACTCAAATACTTTGGCCACCTAATGAGAAGGAAGGACTCCCTGGAGAAGAGCCTAATGCTGGGAACAATAGATGGCAAAAGAAGAAGGGGACAGCAGAGGATGAGGTGGCTAGATGGAGTCACTGAAGCAGTTGGTGTGAGCTTAAGTGGATTCCAGGGGATGGTGGAGGACAGGAAGGCCGGGAGGAATGTTGTCCATGGGGTCGTGATGGGTCGGACACGACTTAGCGACTAACAACAACAACAACAACAAAAGTCCCTTGAGGAAAACTACTGTGATAACTTCCAGCCTCCCACTTAAGAGTCCATAGATGCGTGCTTTCCTATAAGAACGCAATTAGATATCTGAGAGTTCTGTAACTGAAATACCCCATGTTTTTTCCTTCATACAAGCTGTGAGGGACTTCAGCTTCCTCACTGTAACCTAATTCTTCTGAACATACACCCCCAGCTAAGCATGACTGGAAAAACATGGGTACAGCCTACGTTACTGTGTGTTTTTTCCTCCCAGCAGCTTCAGAGTCGTGCTTTTCAGGGAGAAGACGTAGCAAGAGAATCTGAGAATCTGTGGCAAGACTTGAAAGCAGCTGTTCACTAATGGTCCCTTGTCCGACCTGACAGAGCTGAGCAGCCTTGCCATGAAGAATGGGGAAACACTGAAGGGATCCCGATGCAAAGATGATAGAGGCTTACGCAACAAGACTTGCAGCTCTACCTGCCGCCAGAGATTATTATAGCAAGAACTGACTGGAAGGCAGTGGCTGAACATTTAGGCAACCCACAACTAACAGTTTGTTTTTATTTACTGACCTTTTTGTACCACAATAAAAATAATTAGCAGCAATATTGAGTATCTTGTATGCATAACATGGTAATAATGCCAATTAAATCCAATTTGTAACAAAACAAAATATGGAAAAGTCAAAGGACTTGTGAATACTTTTGCAAGGCACTGTCAACTGCAGTATTGTACCTACTTATTTGGTAATAGATATTGCTGAATTCAAAGGGGCTTATTTCTGAATGGCCATGTACAAGATTGTGCTATTTAGACACCAGCAATTTAGTTGTGATTTTTGAAACTAAGTCATCTCATTGTTAAATTGCTTTAAGTTTTCACACACACACACACACACACACACACACACACACGTAAAGAGCTTTATAGAAAACAAAGAAATCTGTTGACCCAAATGAGAAGTCTCAAAAAGACCATCATAATTCTATGACAAGTCAGAATTTAAGCCTTCTAAGCATATACTGCACTTTTAGCAAAGTGTCTGTTTACAGTGGCTACAGCACTTTCTAACAGGAACACACACACACACACACACACACGTGTCCCAGTGTCTGCAGGCGTTCCAGTGGTTATGCCTCTGTGGCTATATCAGTGAGGACAAAATTAGAGAACACTCATTACAGGAGTGGTGAGATGGTTATCAACAAGGGTATTACAGTAACCCCCTTCCAGCAAAATTTGACATCAGGGTCCAAAAGCCAAATAGTATTCTACTTTCTGTCCACTTTCTAGGACAGAAAGTGAAGCTGAGTATATCCTTGTCAAGAATCCGTCTCCTTCATATTACATTAAGAGCAAGTATCAGATTAGCTTCTTGTGATTGCATGAGAAAAGTAATTATTAATTAGCAGCAATGTTCTACATGGAACCTGAAGCTCCAGCTATTAGCGTCTCCCATATCATCAGCAGAAAAATCCAAGTAACAACTAGTTCTTATTATCACCATTGATGTTCATCATCTACAGACCTCTTTTCTCCTAGGAACACACTGTCTCTCTTTTAGGATGAGTTTCTGCCACAAACATTTGAGGCACAGACCCCAAAACCTTGGTCTGTAGAGACATACCCAACTTTCTCCCTCGTTTTCTCTAGCAAGGTTGGCTTATGCAAGCACACTACTAGTTATACTCCAAGGTTTGAGAGAATAAGGGATTTTTAAAGCAGCTTGCATGTCTCAGTTAAATGAGAACTGATGTGAGAGCACACCTCTATGTACAGGTGTGTGACCATATACCTCCAGATTACAGCAATAGGAGGCACTTTGACCTCACCAGGAACAGATGAGCATTACGGTATGGGTACACTTGGTAATGCATTACTGAGCAGAACCAGCAGTCCAGGCCTTTCAAGCCAAGGGTAATTCTGTGGCCCATTCTCACACTGGGCAGTTACCTAATGAAATACTATTGATAACCTAACTTATGTGACTCCAGTGTTAACCTCTACAGTGACACTAACAGCATTTGTTGACATGATGGGTGTTGAAAAAGCCATCACATGGCATTATGCTATGGGTTATTTATGCTAAAGCCACATAGTTCGTGTTAGTGGCATTGTTTCATTGGACATCACCCATTACTTTCAGAGCGGCAGAAGCTGCTGCTCTTGTCCTCCACTACTCAAGCAAGGTCAGAGGACCAGGGCCATGAGTCCATCTTCCCAATGGCAGCATCATCCTTCCTAGAAACAGAAGCAATATTGGCATTCTTGTATAGCAACATATTACAGCAGATTCCATAATTTCAAATATAATGTCAGAAGGGGACAGGTACCTTAGCAGGGTCTCTCCCACTATACTGGGCCTGAAAAAGGACTAGCTAAAATTCCCTCAGTAGAGCACCAATTCATTCAATGTTTTGTAAAACCTTACAATTTTGTTTTTATTTGCTAAAGTGCCATTTTGGCTTTGCTTTATATTGTTTGGATACACAAACACAGAAGACATAAATTATAAAACTATTCAAGGCCCTGGTAGAACTATAAAGCCCCACAAGAAGAGCAATTGCTATTTTCCCTTATGTCATTTAAATATGACAATGAAGAATTTTGTTTCAGCACATATTTTTGTTTCGTTCAAAATAGTCTGCCACTCCTTGTTCCTCAAAGGGTCGCCAATATATGTTAACATCTCAAATATCATAGGCATTTGCTCTCCTTCCAGAGTTTAAAAAGGATCTGTCTTTGCTCCTCTGTTATCTCCCATTTCAGAGGCTTCTTTCTTGAGCCTTGATAGGAAGTAGTCATGCCACTGGACAAAAGAATGAAGTCAAAGAGTTCCCATCTATTCCCAGTGAGGCCGAGGTGCC